GGGGGCCCCCAAGTGCGGGGTGGGGGTGTCGGAGGGGAGGGGGGAAAACTAGAGTTTCCGCAGCTATTTGCTGGAGTTCAGGTGGAACCGAGGGGCCGGGAGCCCGGGGCTGGGAGGAAGGCAGTTCCAAGGCTCGGCCACTTTTTAGGGGGGGGGAGGGTAGAGGGGGCAGGCAGACGTGGGTCCCTTTAAGATCCATTCTCCCCTCCCTCCCCCCTGCCCCCCTTTCCAGTCCCCCCCCCGCCCATCTTAGAGGCCAATTTTGTTAATTAAATGTTTTGTTTGCAACGCAGCTCTCATTCATTGCGGACACGTCATTCGGAGCAGATCTAAGCCAGAGACCAGATCTCATTAGATAAAGCCCATCAGAACTAAGAAAATGGAGGAGCCACTAATTAAAGCTTTTAATTGTGCAGATTCGCTGCAGCAAGGCAGCCGCTTTATCTGAAATCTTGGAGGGAGAGGAGCCCAGGCTGAAGCCCGGCCCTAGGCAGTGGTGGATACTGGTCCACACAGGGGGAGGGGACTGGAGAAAAACGCCCCCCCCTTCCTAGCCCACCCCTGCTGGCCTCTCTCTCCCAGCTCTCCCTTAGCTTTAGTCAGATCTTGGTTATAAAAAACAAAACAAACAAACAACAACAACAAAATCCTATAATCTCAAAGTCAAAACAGTTTAAAAGCCCCTTAAAATAAATTGCTCCTAGGACCACCGGGTCCTAGTCACCTGGTGGCCAGCTAGTTGATGACTTTGCTCTTTAGTTAGCTGTCACTCCCTAGGGAACTAAAAGCTCCTCCAACAAGTGGGTTTGGGGGTATTTGGGGAGAGGACAGCTGAGAGGAAAAGGTAGACTAGCACTCCCTCCACAGTCCCATCTTTTTGGTATTTTGATGGTCAGAGGAGAGAACTCAAATGTCAGAAATCTGTAGATGAAGTGGAGTGAGGGGTGAGGGCTTTCAGCTACTGGGGCTTAATCAAAATGTGGTTTGCTCTAAACTAGACATATCTCTAGGAGATGTTAAGTTTCTCAGTGTAGCAACTAGTTCAAGAGCAAACCTAGCTCCAGTTCTCAGATTCAGAGACAAAAGGAAAGAAATATGGATGAATTAAGGTTCAGAGCTGGGTACACATCTTCCACTAGGCCACACCAAAAGGGCATTTATAATTGGACCTAAGAATAAGAGGAATGGACTCCATCTGATTCCCAGGAAACCACTTGCCTAAACTTGTCCTGGGGGAATGCAAGTGCACCCATCTTCTTTTTAATTAGTAATCAGAAGCAAAGAATGTTTTGTTTTTTTGTATTTTTTTCCCAGAAGGCATTTCAAGAGATGAAACTGTACCACTGACCAAATCTTAACTACAGTGTCATTTTTTACACTTTAACCCGCCATCTTTTATCATATTTTTTGCTCTCTACTTAATTACAATACTGTTAAAGCTCATGGCATTGCGTGGAATGAGGACCAGAAAACATTACACACCAGGCTCCTGATGATTTTTCCAACATTTACTTCTAAAAGAACACTTAGTGAAATGAATGCATCCATCCTACTTTAAAAAATAAAAGTATATACTTTATTTCTTTCACTCGACTGATTGAGGCTGCCAAGAAGAGAGATACAGGGAGGGTGTGTTATCAGAATAGCCAAATGTCATTTTTCCCCATCAATCATTTCATACTAATGCTATCACTGGGGGTAAACACACCCTTACTCAGCTCTGAACTATAGTGGGACCTTCTGCAGTACCAGCAGCTGAATGACAGGAACTAAACTATGAACAAAATATTTCATTCAGTCATTTACCTGCATGGAAGAAAGAATAAAAATTTTCTGCTAATCACTATAAAGGTTTAGGGCATAAACTGAAATAGAAAAAAATTATACAAAGTGTGTGGTTCTCTAGTATCAGCGGTGTGCGGGCGGTTTTTTTTTTTTTTAATTACTGGATGTTGAAACAGAACACCTCTTAGAAGCATTCATGTGCATCAGTCTATCAAACCATTTACTCAAATTAAATGTGTAATCCTTCAAATGCCTCCTTTCAAATTAATGAGTTTAAGTAGCTTGAGTTCACCTGAAAAGATCCTATAGGCACCTGACCTCCTGAATTCTTCTCATTAATTGCGCTGAAACTTGTTGGAAGAGCCTGCTTACACGGATATATGAATGTTCCTATACATTGCTTTAAGATGCGAGATTAGTCTAGCCCCTTTCTCTGAATCTTTTGGGAATCAAGGGCAATGCTACAAATGACAACAGAAAGAAAGAAAGAAAAAAGAAACCAACTAAACCTGAACATTCATCAAATGAACAAACTACAGACTCTAGATGGGAAACCACACACTGACAGTGACAACACCAAGCCCTCCAAGTAAAACTATGAAGAGAAACATCAGGTTTTGTGCTTTGGGTTTTCTGCTATAAAAAGAATGAAAAGTCTTTAAAACTGACAGGAGATCAGCATTTTTCACAAGGAGCACAAAGAATGAGTCACGGCTTTCCACGCAAAAAAAAAAAAGTTTAAAGGTGCTTTATGTAAACATCACAATTAGTCACTGCTACAGACAAATACTTTCTCACTAAGTCTACTTTTAAGTAAGCAAACCTTTTGTCTCCGATGAGTGTCTCTAGGTCCCCACCTGGCTTTAAGAACGCAGCTTACCTCCCACTTGGAGGGCTAACTTGCAGCCTGCAGCTCAGACAGAGGAGGCTGGCTGCCCACTTTGGATGTGGGTAGAGTGTCCTGGTCTTTGGCACATCTAAGTGGCCCTAGTCTTAAGTTAGTATATATACAGCATTGGCCCTTCATGTGTCATCCGATTCTGCAAGATTCACACAAGCTTCTTGAACCCCCAAAATGCTACCAAGCTTTTAAAGGTGAACAGTGCCAAGAATGCCCCTGTGTCTGCACAACACCCCCCCCCCCCCACACACACACACACAACCCCAGGTAGTCAGTATAACCTTTGGCCTTGCACAGGGCTGGGCCAGCCCATCCGGGACGGCAGCAGACTCACCTAATGTAGTCATTTCTGCACAGGATCATGCCGCTCTTGGTGTAGCAGGACGTGCCGATGTCTCCCAGCTGCGCCTGGCAGCAGGAGCACTTGAGGCACCGGCTGTGCCAGTAGCTGTCCATGGCATACAGCAGGAAGCGGTCCGCGATTTTGCCCCCGCAGCCCGCGCACCGCTTCCAGGAGAGGGAGCCGGCCGTCACCGGGGGCGGCTGCGAGCTGCTGCCCGGGTTCACCATG